CTATCGCCCGGTTGTTTGTTTTCCTTCTCCAATTCGCCACCAACCGTACCACCTGCGCAAAGACAAGGCTGAAAAGGGCAGCCAGAAAGGCACAATGTGCAGAATCGCTCGAGCTCAGGCTGGCGATGCTGGTGCCGTCCCTTCGGCTGCGATGCACTGGGAGAGTTTGGCGGAGGCGCTAAAAGGTTTGCGGCACTCCACTTGGTTCCAGCCGGAGTCGCTAGACTTGCGCGAGCAGCTGAAGGACTTCAGTTGAAAGATGGGGAGCTTTGGGTGTTTCTGGGGTTCAGTTGAAGGGAAACCAACCGGACAGCCAGAAACCTCGGGACGTGCTTGCCTCGCTTCAAGGGGTTGCCCCTTTGATCAAAGAAGGGACCTTTTGGTTCTTAAACAAGAAAGGCATCACCCAAATTAGCCATCCTTTCTCCCTCCTACCCTTTTGGCTAAAGGATCACCTCTTTTCGTTGATTCCTTTGTCGCACGGTTTTCAGTTTGGATGAAGCTGCCCTTTGGCAAAAACCAACAAAACAAGGAACCCTTTGGTTCAACAGAAAGGGACTGACACCACAAAAGAACTGTTGGGGGTTCAGCAAAGAGGACGGACACCCTTAAAAGGACAAACTCCCGACATTTTTCGGTGCTAAAACAAAGAACCGGAGCCTTTAAGAACAGGGAGCAAACACCAAAAAAGCCAGGACGACCTCTGTGTTTTCGTTCAAAAAAGAAGCAGCCGGAATTCAAAAAGAGCCAAACAAAGAGGAGAGCTTCAAAAACCAACAAAAAGACCGGAAAGGTTTGCTAAAAAAGGGAGAGCTTGCGCTTCAAAACCCAAAAAAGTGGGAGGACTACCAGTCCTCGGTGGAGCTCTGCGCTCTGCTCTTCTGGCTCTGCGCGCCTCTGGCCTTGGCCTTCCTCGCCTTTGCGCTGTGCCTGGGCCGCGTGGCCTTCGTCCTGCGCCGGGCCAAGGCCTTCTACGCCCGCGCCGCGGAGTTCTACGAGGAGCGGGCCACAGGGGCTTCTTGTTTTTTGCGGTGTTTTTCCCCTCTTTTTCTTTTTCTTTTGGCGTGTTTTTTCCGTTTTTCCCTGTTTTTAAAGCAGCCCTTTGGACCCTGAAAAAAAGACACATGTTGCATTTGCGATTTTGTTTTGGGGTTGTTGTTTGGGCTTTTTTTTGTTGGTGGGGGGCTTCTAGCTTTGTTCTTTGGGGCTCCGTTGGTGGTGGCCTTTTCGGGGTTCCTTTCGGAGTTTTTCCTCAGACACACTCTTTGCCCTTGGGGTTGGGTTTTGGTATGGTGTTTGCCCCTTTTGGGCAGCCCTTTTAGCTTCTTCACACCCGATTTTTCCTTTTGGTTGTTGCCCTCGGGGCTTCCTTGAGTTTGTCCTTTTGGTTCTTGGTCCGTGTCTTTTTGTATATTTGATTTGTGCCCTTGTAGCTTTTCCCTGCTTGTTGCCTTTGTTTTTCCCTTTGCTTTGCCTTTTTAGCTCCGAAGGAGCTGGTGCAAGAGGGGACCAAGCAGGCGGGACACGTACATCGACAGCCCATGGCCCCTTCCAGTGTGCATGTGCGGCCTGTGTGTGTGTGTGTATCTCTCTCTATATTATATAGATTTGCATGGGTTTGCGGACAGACGGACAATTTGTTGCTCTATTTGTTGTGTGTGTGTCTACACAAATTGTGTGTGTGTGTATATCTTTTGTGGCTCTTCTTGGCACAGGGCAAAGCCCCCCGCAGAAGAGATGATGGTTTGGCGCGACACCTCGAGGTGCCTGTCTTCGGCTTTTAACCAAGGGAAACCAAAAAGACCAAAAACACAATTTCCAGAATTCCCTTCGCCGGGCGTTGGGGGGGGGGGGTGGGGTTGGGGTTGGTTTAGAAACTGCAATTTGCAAAGGCAGATTGTATACGTCCATGTACGCATGTGAACCTGTTGCAATCAAAACACTCTTTGCTTGGTTGTAGGGCTGGTCACGAACCCAATCATCCGGAATTTGTTCAATCATGATTGGTTATGATCCCTTTATGAGGATTTTAGCCAACTATGATAATAATTTCTTTCAGCGAGCCATGACCATGATTTTTGACCTTGGGATGGTTTCCACCACCCCCACTAGAGTGTTTCTCAAGAATAAAGGAACACCAGAAGGAATCCGTCCCTTGTAGGAAACTAACATTCGGACTTTCGAGAACCACTCAACGCAAAGAAAGACAGATCGAAAGAAGGAAGAAAGAAAGAAGGAAAGAAGGAAGGAACGAGAGAGAGAGAGAGAGAGAAAGAGAGAGAGAGAGAAAGAAAGAAGGAAAGAAAGAAAGAAAGAAAGAAGGAAGAAGGAAAGACAGAAAGAAAGAAAGAAGGAAGAAGGAAAGAAAGAAAGAAAAAAAGAAAGAAAGAAAGAACGAAAGAAAGAAATAAAGAAAGAAAGAAAGATAACAAGAAAGAAAGAAAGAACGAAAGAAAGAAAGAAAGATAAAAAGAAAGAAAGAAAGAAAGATAAAAAGAAAGAAAGAAAGAACGAAAAAAAGAAAGAAAGAAATATACAAATTACAGAAAGATACAACATAAACACAAGTAAATAACATAAAAAAAAATAAGCACACACTTTTGAGGCCAGTGCATTTGTCTTTTGGTTTCCCCTTCTACTCATCCCGGGGTGTCACGTCCTGTCACGTCCTGTGTCGGTTTGCGAGGTGCTGGCGCAGTACGACGCGGAGGACTGGTTGGCCTTCAGCAAGGCCTACTTCCAGCGCCTGGCCTGGCTCTGGAACTCCGACCTGGCCCAGGCGCCGCGCCGAGGCGGTGTTCGGTGTTCGGATTTTCGTCAAGCGGCCAAGGGAAGTGGGGAGCCGCCCAGAGTCACGGAAGACTGATGACAGGGGGCTCAAAAGGGGGGGGGATCCGGAGGTGGGGCGGTTTCTTTTCAGCGGGGTGGCGGGTGAAACAGAGACAAAAGGCGGGGTTCAACGTTAGGAACTCTGAGCTTCAAGCCCGTTTTGGGTGTTTCCGACCGATTTTTTTGGTAATTTTGGGGGTGGGGGGGGGGAGTTGGAACGAAGGCAGGTTCTTGTGGGACCTAAAGCGAAACCCCATCCATTTCTTTGTGGGACCTCGAGCAAGAGCATGGTCTTTCGGTCTCAACATCGTTTCTGGTAAGGCACACACATCTTTTCTGCATTGAACTTCAAAATGCACGCTAGGAGCCCTCCCAAGTCCAGGGTGATTTCCCCAGCCTCACTTCCGTTGGTTTCAACAGTTTCGCCACCCTCCGCAGATTCCCCAGCTGAAAACTGGGGGGTCTGTGCAAAACAAGTCCGGGCTGGATTTGAAGCAACTTTCAGGGAGGGTTCCGGGGATTTCGGGGCCGCGGAGACCCAGCTGGGCTCGTCAGGAGGAGGGCGTCCGGGACTTCTTGAAGGCTTTCGGGTCCCAGGGCCGCCCTTTGCTGCTGGCGCTGCTGCTGGTCTTGTACGGCTACGTGCTGGATGGGCTGCTGGAGCTCTGCGCCTGCTTGCCTCTGCTGCCCCAGGCGAGGGGACCCACCTGATGGGAAGAAAACAGGAAAGGCTGGGATTGAAAGGAGGCCGTCCAAGCGGACGGGGCATGGGGGCAACATGTTTCAGCAAGGGGCCCCTTCTGTTGCCAAGCTGAGGAACATTTCGCCACTGGGTTTGGGGGCCATTTTCTGAGAGGGAATGCAGTGATCAAGCAGTCATAAGCATGGGAACCAACCTATCACAGGGTGAGAGCGACAACGGGGGGACCAAACAGGAACCAAACGAACCCCCCCCCCGGGTCCCCTCCCCGGTCCATGCTTTGGTGTTCGGCAAAGCTAGTAATGGTAAGTTAGTTTATCACCGACTTACAACCCGTGAATGTGGGTTTAACTTGTTAGGCACAAACATCCAAGTGGTCCCCCTCGACACACCCGAATGTTTGAGTCACTCTTGTCTCAAGTTCCTGCTTGCCTCACGCCTTTTTTGGGCTTCACTCCAGATTTCTTGCTAGTTTTTTCAGTTTCCAGAGAAACCGAAGGAACCCCATGCATTTCTGAGGCATTGGTTTTTGTGTTTTTAGGATGTGGTGTTTTTGCCTAGGGATTTCCCATGCCTCTTACGGCCCTGGGGATTCTTCACCCGTAGCACGCTGGCTAGGAGACTTTGCGGAGGGTCACGGTGGCGCCCGAGCTGCCGTGCTGGGGTCTCATGGGCAAGCTGGCCTCAGGCTTGCCCCCAAGATCCGCTGAAACGCCACGGGTTTTCTAAGAAACCCGGAGCCGCTCCATTGGGCAGAGACCCCAAAGCTTTCAGTTATAGAGGGGAAACAAAAACGTGTTTGGGTTGTATCCTTCAAGGAGCCCTGCGGTGGTTTCTCCCGAAACCGCCCAAAAGGGATCCCCCCCCAGATGTTTGATTCTGGTTTCCCTTTATATAAAGCAGTCCCTCAAACCGGCTTGCCCTGCCAAAGTTGAACACAGCCAGTCGTATAAGCAATGACGAATTCCAGGTGGTCTATGTTAGTTTGGGAAGAACATGGAGGCACACAACATACGATATCTTGCTTTTAAGCTTCTGGTTTTGACCATCCAAACCGATATCATGATCAATGATTCACAACCAGGTTTCTTGGTTGTTTGTGTACACTGCAGTTGGGCACAGTGACCCCATTATGTTTTAAGCAACCCCAAAGGCGACTTGTTATCCTCCTGAACACAGGCCTTTTCCCTGAAATGGGGAATGATACCAAGGGACCAAGGTCGTTCTTTCTTTGGTAAGCCCCTTTTTGGGGCAGTTCTTAAAGCAAATCAAGGGCATCACTTCTTTTTTTTGGGGGGGTTCCCGAGAGACAACCCCCGAATCCTGTTGAAAGTGATCAAGTCCATCGGAATGGCTCCAGGCTTGGCGCTCTTGTGGGCTCTGGGTGTGCCGGTGCTGCTGAGCAACCAGCTGCGGAAGGCAGGCTTGACACAAGTGGTTCGTTCACAACCAAGCCCTGGCCCCTTCGATTTTTCGGGTATCACCTGATTCTTTGCTTGAACACCCAAGTATCCCATCTCCTTCAGCCACGGCGTGTGACCCATCTCCTGAAGGCGAAAAGCGGATTCCGTGAGTCCGTGGAGCTCGCATGCCATGGGACCCAAAAAAGCACCAAAAAGGCTTCCCTTGACGCGAATCCCGACGCGGAAGGTGCGGAACGAGCTGCCGGACGACTTCGAGTTCCCGCCAGCCTTCTGCGTGCTGAGCTTCGGGTATCGCTTGGGGTGCTGGAGCCATGGCCGGTGTCCCCGTTTTTCCCCTCCCCTTGGGGTGGTATTTAGAGGCAGTCAGAAGGACACCAACCGTTCAGGATGTCAGATGCCAAGGCGTCATCGATACTTATAGGTGGTGTTTTTTGAGGCTCGGTACCCTTTTCAAGTTGGCTTGAAAGAAAAAGGGAACACCACAATTTGTGAGGTCCAGACTTACAGCTGGTGTGTGTGTGTGTTTGTTGACATAGGGGTGTTTCCCTTTAAAACGAGCTTTGAAGAAAAACAACAAGCCGAATCTGAATTTCCTTTTTGCGGCCCGTTGTTTATTCGAGGCCCCCCGGATTTTTGTGTTGGGGGTTGTTTTAACGAGAAACACAAAGGATCCAAATTTCTCTTTTTGACACAGAAGCCCCATTTGGGTCTGGGTCAAAGTAGGGGACTGCCGAAGTTGCTGTTTTCCTTTCGGTTTCTCTTTAAACCAACCTACTGTAAACAAGGGTAGCCTCAAAAAGCAGGGGCCCCAAACAGGAACACCTTTGCATTGCCAGGCGCGAAGCGTTTTGCCCGTGGCGGCTCCAGCTTTGTTGCAGTTGCCACCTGTCGGATTCGCCTGGCCAAGGAACTGGGAGATGTACGTCTTCCTGCTGAAGGCCATCCACTTCGAGCCGAACCCTCCCCCCCCACCCCCCACCCCCCGCCGTAGGCGCAGAAGGACGCGCTTTGTGTGGACCCCTTTGATGGGCGTTGAGGGGGCAAGGCAAAAGGGGTGTTCTTGAGATCCCCCATGAAAATCTGAGTTTTTCAGGCGTGGGGATAAAGTCTGAAAGATGTTCAAAGGGTCCAGCCAAATCAAAGAAATGCTCCCCAAATGGGCAAGCAGTTTTTCCCTCCAACACGACATATGACGCGCCACACAAAGAAATACTCATGTATTCCAAGCGAACGCCCAAGCAAAGTGGCTGGCAGACATACATCGAACCACGCAATGATATGCAGCAGCGGGTCCGACCCCTCAAGTGTCATACCTTCCCAACACCACGCCCGCGTTTTAGGTAACACAACGACAAAAGAATCAAACGAAAGCACCAAGAGCAAAAGCAACAAGAAAACACACACACACACACACACAGAAAAAAAGGCAGAACAAAACAGAAACACAAACAGAGCAAAAGCAACCCATTGTTTTTTCCAATGGATCCGGGGAGCTCCGAACCTCAGGCGGGGATTTTGGTGTCGTTGCGGGTGCTGGGCCCCTCCGGCCGCAGCAGCTTCCTGTTTCTGCTGGCGGTGCTGCACGGCTTCGTGTCGAGGAGAGATTCGAACCAAGCCTTCGCCCGGGTTTTCCCCGCCAGACCTGCGGAAACGCGTCGCTTCCTTGTTTTCCCTCTTTTTGGCGGGGCTCCCTTTTGCAAGTCAACTGGCCAAACACGGAGAAAACTGTAGTTTCCCACGGCCGCGTGAATTTTTCCTGGTGTGTTTGTGTTGGTGTTTGTGTTTGTGTTTGTGTTTCTGTTTCTGTTTCTGTTTGTGTTTGTGTTTGTGTTTGTGTTTGTGTATGTGTATGTGTTTTGTTTGTGTTTGTGTTTGTGTTTGTGTTTGTGTTTGTGTTTGTGTTTGTGTTTGTGTTTGTGTTTGTGTTTGTTTTTTGTGTTTGTGTTTGTGTGTGTGTGTGTTTTTTGGGTCCCTTTTCAGTGAACAAAGGTTCTAGAGTGAACATTGGGTATGTGTTTTCTCGAAGCTTCCTGCATCTGATGGTTCAAGCTATGGCTTAAGAAGTGGGCTTGAGTGTATTTCCAACCAAAAGGGGTTCCGTCATTTTGAGAACTCACCTCTATTCCCCCTTGGTGGGGTGATGGCTAGGGGGGCAAACATATGAGGGCCATGATTTCCCCTGAAAAAGGGTTTCTCTAAACCTGCCTACTCCCTTGTATTATCTAGTGCCCTATATTGCTAGTACCTTTTTTTGAACAGCCAGATGCCTTTCTTGTTTTGAGACTCCTCGTTTTCGGCAGCCCAAACTCCTTTGGGGCTTGACCAGCCACAACCCCTCCCCCCCAAAAGGTCCATGCGTTCGCTCGTGAGAAAAGCGCGCGAGCCTCGAGGGCGTTCGGCCCCTTCACGGCGCGCTCGGACTTCGCGCTGGTGAAGGCGGACAACCGCTTCGCGCTGTTCTTCGTGGGCCAGAGCATCCTGGTGCAGGCGGGATATTGCTCCCCCGTGTTTTTTTTCCAGTGGACCCCCAAAAGCGGGTTTCCCTGCGTTTTCCCTTGGGTTTCCCTTGGGAGCATGTATGTTGGAGCCCACTTGTGATCGAAGCCGTACTGGTCACCCAGTTGTTCTTTGCACCCAGTTGTTCTTTGGGGAGCTGGGAGCCTCAGAAAACAGGGGAAGGTGGTAAGGGGCAAGGCCCGAAAGTGCTGGGGAGCTGTTTTGGTCAAAGGCCGCAAACAGGGGGGGTCTTGGCACTTTGTCCTTCGTGTGGCGTTGGGCTTGAAAGATTATCCATGTCCACACCAAATAATACAATGGTTTCAAGCCGGGTCCAAAATGACCAGGTGCTTGCGGTGTCCAGCACCATCCCCATCGTCATGAAGATCTTAGCGGTTTCTCTGGTGGCAGTGATGCTGTGCCTGAATTTGCTGATGGTGCTCTCCCTTTTGCGCGCCTGTCTGGCGTGCTGGCAGGACACCTTCATCGACACTCCGCTTCCTGCACCTGGCATATTTTTCTATGGCCTATGCTTGCCATGCCCATCTTTTTGGTTTTGTGTTTCAACGATTCTTTCTCTTTCTGGGTTCTGCAATCCTTGCTAGTGTCGCCTGTTTTTAGATACTTTGTATACCATCTTCTCCAGTGGTGTCATTTGGATCCTGTAGTTCTCTCCCGGTGGTGCCTTTCTGGTTCTGCTTTTCGGAAAGCCGCCCCAACAAGTCACCGGTTCCCACAAATTGGAGAGAAGCTGACACCAGCATACTTCATCGTTTTGATTTATTTCAGATGTAACTTGCGCTCTTCTATTTCTTAGCAAAAAAGGAAACAGACGAGCCTTATTTTGGTGCGCTAGTTTTGATGTAAACAGTTGGACCGAACAACCATTGAGCAAATTCCAACACGCTTGACATCATTGATGTTTCTTCATTGTTTTGTTCGAGTTGTGGAAACAAACCAAGCAATACGACTTCATCTTGAGCCAACACAAGAGGTGAATCATGACAACAACATGATTTGCGTTTAATCCCACATGGTCAACCACCATTTACTCCATCATTTTGGTGTTTTGAACAAGTTTCCAACAACAACCCAGTTTTGGCTGTGTGAGTGTGTGTTTTTGGCTTGGTACCTTTGTAGGGTCGTTTCAAAGGAAACCCAAAGTGTACAGCCACCATCTCGGGGTCGTTTGACAGAAGAGCCTCACCACCAGTCCAGACGAATTGATACGCGCGTGTCTTCATTTAGGGACACCTCCTCCCCCCCCCAAAAAAAAGTAAACAAAGGAGAAAATAATAAGAACTACGCAACTAACCGAGGTGGATTCTAGTTTGGCTCCCCTAAAAAAAAGAAGAAACACAAAAACGACAAAACCAGGGGTACCCTCCACGAGAACATACCCAGAGGTTGTTTGTGGCAAGGAGAGCTACGAGTTCTACGAATGGGCCTTGTGGCGCGACGGCAAGCGGAACCGCCGCTGCCTGGGGCTCTCGTACCGCCTCACCAACCTGCTGCTGAGGCGCTACAAGCGCCGGGTGCGGCAGCGCGCCTACGCGGGGGACCCAGCAAGCGGCGGAGATGGCTGGGGTTCGGTTTGCGGGGCTTCTGGTTGTTTTCCCTGTAGCGTTTTCTGCAGCTTGGATTTTTTCTGGCTCGTGGCGGTCTGGTGGTTCATGGTTGTGGACAGTCAGTCTTCGGTTGCCACTGTCTGTGCCACCAGAGTGTCCCTTTAAACGGCGATGAAGTGGTCTTGGCCACCTGACCGCAAACGGCCGTTTTAAGCCGCACACGGGGGCCCGGCCTTCGGCCTTCACGTCTCCCGACTCCGGCGTAAGGTGAGCTTCGACTCCCGGCGCGGTTGGCTCACCGTCTGCGGCTCCCACGGGGACGCCGCCATGGCCGTGGCCAACCTGGCGGCCAACCTGTCCCAGGCGAAGCGAAGCGCGAAGCGAATGGGGTGCCCCGCGCTCTCGGTGTTGGCTTGGGACACACAAGGAACAGAGGTCTCGGACAACTCCCCCCCGTTTTGAAGGGGTGCCAGGTGCTGTTGGGGCCGAGTCTAAGTCCGATCATGGCTTGACAAGAGCGGTGTAGTCTAGGTTGGGCACTGGGCGCAGCCTGAAATGTCTGGATTTGGTTCGCTTGACTCCCTTCTTGCGTTTGCAACGTTGTCTTGGCATCTAGCGGGTAATGAATTCCTTTTGGTATGCGTTTCTGTTTATGGATGGTGCTGGTACGGGGCCTCCGAAATTCAAATTTCAGGGTTTGCTTCTTGCAATCTCTTGATAGGGTTACCCGGTTACCCAACTGTCAAACTATAACCTTCTGACCTTGGATAGCACCCAGTGCATTTTCCAAAGCGCCATGCAGTTTTCCTGGTTGTTGTGTGTGTTTTTCCCGAGCAGGCGTTTCTGCCCAGAAACGGGGGTGTCAGTTCCCAGGCTCGGGAGATGGACGAAATCCATTTCGCGCCGCTTTGAAGCCATGGTCGAAACCATAGCGTTTGGTATTTTTGGGGGGACTCGTATCACTCCAGGGGTTTCTCGGCTGC